TCATATGAATGCGTTTAAGGTAAGAAGATATATATTTCAAGTCCTTTTTCTCCTACATTCTGTTTCAGGATTTCTAAATGAAAATGAAACTCCATCTTCTGAATCTCCAATAAGAAGACCACTCTGTATAGAATGTTCTGTTGATAATTATTTAATAAGTGATAATGAAATTAATGAAAAATTTGTTAGTTTCATACAGAGTGTTTTGAAATCGTATTTATTAAAAATGGCAAATATGCAAAGTGAAGTAAGTTATATTAATTAACAAGGTGTAATTATCTCGCTAAAGGGATAGGTATTTTAATCTTCAGATACACAGCAATTTTATAAGAAGCTTCATTCTAACTGCATTTGACATGGCCAGAGATATACAAATTACACCAAGAAGAATATCTTATGCTCAACAATCTGAGGGAGAGCTGTATAAAACACTCGTAAAAATTGCAGGAGAAAAGCAGGAAGAAATTGCGCGAATAATACAAGTAACTCTGCAAGATATGAAATCTAATGTACCTGAAGTTTTGGAGGATTATATTCAAAGAGGTAATATAGCATTTTATTTCCACAGTTATTATTGTCATTAATTTTAGATAATTTGATAAGTATTCCTATTAAAATATGGAGTTTCAGAAATCCTTATTAACTGCTATATTTTATTACAATTTAATTATTTCAAATTTTTTATTCAGATTCAAATTGCCAAAACTCAGGAAAAATGGCCACAATGGAAATTCAACAGTTGGTACTGAGAAAACTTGGCAAATCTGTTGCAAAACAACTTCTTCAGTCAGTTGGGTGTTTGCAGGAAAGTTTTACAGGGACTTTACAGCGTTGCTTAGAAAATTTAGAGAAAAAATGCAATGATCAAGAAGGAAATTTATTGGCATCCGATGCTGTTAAACAAATAATAACAGCCGCCTACAATATTGAATTAAAATCTTCTTCGTCTTTTTCTGTTGTCTCGTCGTTTATGGATCGTCTTCGAAAATTCATACAACATTTTCAAATGCCTTGGTCAACTTGTTCTCAACCCCAACTTAATTATCAGTGGCAACTGCAGGTTGCAACTGACATGATAGATTCCCTAAGTGCCTCCAGATTAGCGAAAAGTATTTCTTCTCAAGTAAATTTCGAAAAAAGCTTCTAATCTTGAATAAAACTAATAAAATGTTGGTTCTTTTAGTTTCAAGAACATGTTAAATCATCTCATAATGCCTTTCACTCTGCCATGCGTTCCTTAGAGAACCAATTATCTGGAAAACTGGAAAGAACCGAAGAACAAAGGATTGCAATTCGTAAACATTATGCTCCCACTTTCGCTCGTCTTGCTTTGTATAGTACTTCTTTGTGCGATTGTGTTCGTTATGGTATGCCAAAACAAACGAGGGAAATAGGGAGAGGACAGTATGGTGTCGTATATTCCTGTGAACCCTGGGGTGGAGTTAATCCATGTGCAGTCAAGTCTGTTGTGCCTCCCGATGACCGCCACTGGAATGACCTAGCTATGGAGTTTTATTATACAAGGTATTTATTAATAACGACAAGAAAGAAATGATCATAATATTTCAAAATGTTTTTTATTTATTAGAACAATCCCAGAACACTCTCGAATTGTAAAACTGAGAGGTTCCGTTATTGATCTTCAATATGGTGGTGGTTGCTCTCCAGCAGTTCTTTTAGTTATGGAGCGTATGACTAAAGATTTATACTGTGGCTTAAAATCAGGCCTATCTTGGAATAAACGTCTACAGATTGCCATAGATGTTGTTGAAGGTATCCGATACTTACACTCTCAAGGACTTGTACATCGTGACATCAAATTGAAAAACGTTTTAGTAGGTATAACAATAACAAAACAACATATTTGTTCTTCATTTGATCGTCTACTTATCCATAAGGATTTCATGATTTTATTAATTCCTTTTAGTTGGATGGCGAAGATCGAGCTAAGTTAACAGACTTTGGTTTCTGCATTCCTGAAGCGATGATGTCAGGAAGTATTGTAGGAACGCCTGTGCACATGGCCCCTGAACTTCTCTCTGGGCAGTATGACTCCAGTGTTGACGTTTACGCGTTTGGTGTTCTGTTTTGGTATATTTGCGCTAATCAAGTGCGGCTTCCATTAGTTTTCGAACAATTTCAAAATAAAGAACAACTTTGGTGTAATGTTAGAAAAGGTAAAAAAACTTTTCAGTCTTATTTTGACAAATTTCCTTTAACCGTTGTTGTTTGCTGCAGGTGTGAGACCAGAATATCTTCCACAGTTTAGCCCAGAGTGCTGGCACTTGATGGAGCAATGTTGGGCGGCTGAACCTTCACAGAGGCCTCTCCTTGGCTATGTACAGCCCCAATTGGAAACAATAAGAGACAAAAACTTAACTTCTAGTCCCCAAGGCAAGTTCTGTGCCTCTCGTAGTCTAAGTCCTGCACCTGACTATTTTGTTTTTGATGACATTAATTACAATAGTAATGAAGTTATGAATCTAAGGGAATATTGACATTGTTGTCTTTTTTACTTACTGTACTTTCCTTCTCATTTATTACTCTGCTTTTTTCCTTTCTTTCATCTATTTATCACTGTTTTTTACAATGCATTTGAACAAGGACTACTTTTACTAGCTAGTATCTGAAAATGAAAAGGCAGAAGTTCTAATACCTTTAAATGTTATAAACTTGATTACATATATTTGTTGAATTTGTTGCTCAATTTTATTTAATCATCATTTTGTATAATAGGCCCTATTTCGCAAAAATAACAGTTTCGTTTAGTTTATTTTACTTCAAACAGCTAGAACAAGATACTTTTAATGCAAAACTTATTTTATTATTTACGTAAGGTTTCTTTTTTTGCTAATCAATGATGAAATATTTTTTAAATTTAAAGAGCTTGAAAGGGAAAGAAAAAATAAAGTAAATTTGTAAAGGATTTTATTATTAAAATTAGAACTCCATTATTTTCTTTTTAATCATGTAATCAAGATCCAGGCATTTTAGTATTCATTAATAATTATTGTAATTTTATTTTAATTATTATATTTCCGAAAAATAACTTATAACTCATGTAACTTTATGTAATTTAGATATTTAGCATGCCTGTATCTTTATTTTTTAATAGAGTATAGGCAATTAACTTTTATCGCAAATATTTGTATNTATCTACGAGTATAGGCAATTAACTTTTATCGCAAATATTTGTATAAGTTGGTCGTTTAAACTTGAAGAAAACTGAAAAAAATATTGAATCAATTACAATGTGTATGGAACAAAAAAGACCATACACACATTTACCTCATTAGTCGCCTTTTACGACACGCCGAGGTTGCGGTGAGGCTATTCTGACTCCGACCTCACACGGGGGCCTGTTAAATGCTTTTTACATTATATTAATCATTCCGCAGACCAACTTAAATTAGTATTTATTTGTAATTGCAGATACCGTGGGCTAGAAAGAAGAAAAGAAGAAGTTACGTATATTTTATTAATAAGTTTTGTTAATTTATTTTTTCATACAAATGTTTAATAAATAATCATAATTTTTAGACTTCTCGTTTTCATTAATATTCTAACTAGTCTTCATGTCTTATGTGTCCTACCATCTTATCATTTCTGTGGAAAATTACTTTAAATAGTCCGTTAAGTCATTTAAAACATAAGTGAATGAAGTGGGGCAACATAAAATTAGTGCTTTGTCTAGAAATTAAAGAAGAAAGAACTCATATGAATGCGTTTATTCGGTGCTTCTAAACTTCTACAGCAGATAATACATTTATGAGAGATATTTTTAAAATTAATGTATTACTGACAATGCCATGCCAAATGTATGACTAAGACTAAAACATAGCGACTGCTTTTTTTTAAAAGATCCACGACGTAAAAAAGTTTAAAAATACATGTTCCATCATAAATAAAATAAAATAAACACTGGAATGGCTTGCTGCTTAACTTCTATAGTATTTAAATGGTACAAACGGGAATGAAAAGTACACAAAATCAGACTACGACAACTGTTTACACATTCATGACAGTAACGCTAAGTGCGACACCTTTTTAAAAAACAAAAATACATGTGGTTAATACAACTACAATGAGAACTACATTACGAAGATGAATTAAAATGTAAAGAACGATCAATTTTAAGTTATGTGAATGAGGAATACTTATCGTATTTTCAAAATTTAACATTCTCTTTTTTAATTCAACAAGAATAAGAAGTCTGTATTATTTGATACTGGCATATTACAGCAGTACGTACTAGGCTATATCAGAAGGCCCTCTTATTACATTTGTTTCTGTAGATAGTAAACAATTATTTATTAGTACTTATGTGTTCATTAATAAGATAACACTTTTACTTTTCGAGGACAAAAGGTTAAGTTTAATTAACTGATATTTCTTTAAATCATGGCAGTGACATTATACATGAGTCCAGTAGTAAGTAATAGGGAGTTTTTGAAGATGGACAAGTGTTATGAGAAGGTGGAACAGGAGATAAGAGAAAGGGGAAGGGCCGAAATTACATGAATAAGACTGGCTCAAAAAACTTATCTTTTGAACCAGTCTGACGAATATGTTAAAATGAACTGTAAGTAAAAGTTGCGTGATAAAAAAAGCAAGCTTTCTCGAGTCATCTACATTTGGCCCCAGTATCATAACATACGTGAAATACAATTATTACGTAATATCAATTATGGTTTGGTATCAACAACACATGGCGTGCCAAATCGGCCATAACTGTTTTACAGTTAGTTTTACAACATTAAATCTAGTACATATTAACATTATACACAGCAATACACAAAAGTAGGGGAGATAGCTGAAGGAAATATACATTTATAGTTTTTTTTAGAACAGGAACTAAAAAATATATGCAGAATATGACACATTCTTTTTTTAATTTATTACAACAAAACAACAAACCTAAACATCATGTTGTAATACACGTAGAACATCATCATTACAGCGAGTTACTTATTTTTTTTTTGTTGTTTTCTGTTGTTAATACGGATAACAGTTACGGTTACATGAAGTGGTGGTGGAAAAGTCACAGAACACCCGGTATATTATGGAATAGGTCCGTCAATTCTCTCTTGTACATTCATATTTAATATAATATGATCAACACATTTTTTTTAGTGGATTTTTTCATTTTTTTTTTTCGGGCCAACAACATTCGGCATAAAAGAATAATAAATAGGTGGATTATTAAAAGTATTAAAGTAATAATAATGTATTGTTTTCAGCAGAAATTTAAGTGCGATAATACATATAGATAACGTCATATCTGTTTATTTTTTGTTATTCAAGTAAACAGTATTGCAAAAATTATACCAAAATTTACACCTTGGCCGGTTGTTGTTTTTTTTTTATTGGTGATGAAAAATTTTTAAAAGTTAGCTGTCGATTTCTTGTTTTCGATTGAACAACTGAATTTAATATTTTTGGACGGATATTATAGCCGAAGAAGTGGATAATGAATGACTGGGCCAAGCAATAAAATTCGGTCGATCTCATGAAAAAATTAAGGCCTTTAGTGACTAATTGACTAAATAAGAATCAATTTACTAATAGAACGCGCGGCTAGACAGTCTTAAAAAAATATTAAAGTCGTATATGTTTATAAATATCTTTATCACATCAGCCTCTAGGCTGAAATTATTCGAAAAGAAAATTAACTAGAATAATTATAATTATATAATATAAT